TATTTTGTCCTTATCATTAAAACTCAAAGTTTTCAAGCCCTTTTTATTAGTTTTCCTATATTTTTAAGCATCCAAACATCAGTTAAAACTAAACAATTAAAAACAATAACACTAAAGCATTTCATTGAAGACATAGATAACATATTTGTTTCTTTGTACCTAAAATGGAAAACATTTGCTTTCCTATATGCTCTGAAATTTGCATAAGTGCTAGAAATTTACAAAATATAAAGAGACAATCTCAGAATAAAACACATTTGAAGGAAAAGTAATAAGAAAAGAACATAGTGTTTTTTACCTATGATTCATGTGAGGAGTAGAATTTCCAGTCACAATTGACAACACAAGAGCTCTGTAAATCAAATATATAGGAAAAGATCAATAAAAAGTGAATTACAGTTTCTCAAATTAGAAAGTAACATTTATTTGAAAAGATTCAGACTCATTTTGGATATCGATAAACAATGGCATGTTAAAAACCAAAATGGTAAGGCATTCAATATTCAGCATTCAAGTTAAAAAAAATGATATACATGTTATCCATCAATGTTTTGGTAACAAATTCCCAAATTGCTCTATCTACCAAACATTTGCAGATCTATCGTTATAGATAGACCTGTAAATGAGTCGGGTTCATTGGGTTTGGATCAGGTTCGACCCGATCTATTAATTTAATGGGTCACCCGAACCCAACCCGTTAAACTAACGGGTCATCCAAACACAACCTGTTAATCTATTAAGTCACCCGTTTTACCCATTTCACCCGTTAACAATTTTTTTTTTTTTTTGCTTTCATATTTCATCCAAACCAAGAAAAGATCGGTGCTTTCAGTTGTTTTCTTCTGCTACCTCACTCAAAACCCAAGTCTCCCTTGCAGCCGACTCCATCACCGCCAACCAATCTCTTTAATGCGATTCAAAACCCGAGTCTTGACCCTGTCCCGGTACGCTTTACTTCGTCCTCCAATTCTTATATCATTATAATATACATATATATACCTCTATATATATACATATATATTATATTTTTATGCATTTCAGTTCTTTGCTTGTAACACTGAGATTTGTACTCTCTCTCTATCGCAACAGCAAAAGTCTCAGCATTTCAGAGACACCCAAAAGATTTTACAATGAAGAGAGAAAGAGAGATAGAGAAAGAGAGAGAGAGAGAGAGAGGGATTTGGGTTCTGAGGTTGAGGTTCCAGTGGAGTTTGAGGTTGAGGACCTGAGGTTCCAGGCAGAGTTCCTAGTGCTAATTAAAGTTCTTGTTTTCGTTTTTTTTTGGTAGTCTTAGGTTTACGAAATTCGACAGAGAGTGAGGGTTTTCTATTAAGAATATTGAAATTACACAAAAGTCCTCAATAACGGGTGATTAACGGGTTTCGCGGGTTCACCCAAAAAGACCTGTTATTTAACGGGTTGACCCGTTAACCACCCAACCCGTTTAGCACTCACCCGAATACTAATTTTAACAGGGTCGGGTCAGATTAACGGATCGGGTTGAAAATGCCAAGTCTAGAACTTACAGATGTTCAGTTTTATGATATTCAACCCAATACCCACATTATTGGCAAAACGACATTGTATAGATCTTTTGAGCACCCGAGCTAATGACAATAACATTGAAGGCAACTACAAAAATTTACATTATATAAAGAGGCAATCTCAAAATCAAAAATTGTGAAAATCAATATTTTATGGCTACATTTTTTCATCCGTCAATCAATACACACATAACACAGACATTCATTAGTCAAGCACTCAACCACTCAGGCACATCGACTACAACTTGGGAATGTTATGCAAATCTTAGGCAGCTTGAATCATTAAATTTGAGTTGGAATAAGCTCTGTTACCTGCTCTGCTAAGTTGAGGAGTGTCACCAAATTGGCACTATCATCAGCATCAACACATTTCACACACTCTCGCTTCCAAAACATTTCACGAAATCGAAAACCAAATGAGATTATGTAGCAGAAAAGATTGACGGAAAAATAGATTAAGAAAAGCAATTAATATTAAATATAGAGGATGAATAATGTTGTCCAATAAATAAGACAGCTGTATATATTTCTCGACCATGAGAAAACAACAAATTAATAGAGGCATTAATCCTAAGTTTGCCATTCATTGTTGTCGGTCTAAACTTGATGACATATTGTAAAGTCCTCTTACATACAGATTAATGAAATATTAATTTATTTCCATAAGTTATTTGATTTTGCAAATTCAAAATAATTGAAGAATACTGAAAATTACTAAACCCCATCACAACATCCCATTAGCCATTAGCGAAAAATCAAAGACAAAAGTAAATTACTATCTTTCTAAGCATCCAAATTAAAAAAACAAATTAGCCAAATTGGAATAGTTAGATCAAATAAAGAATTAAGTCAACCAATTACATAAAATAATTCATGCCAAGTAGGCTCCTAAGAAAATGTACCACTATGGTGGTGGAGGAGGCCTAGGCTCAAACAGTGGAGGAAAGCAGCATTTAAATATACCGCAACAGCACGGAATCCACAGACTGCATAATCAAAACCAAAATTTTAAAATTTAAATTTAAATTTGAAAAAAAAAATGCAATAGAATTGTATAATGAGAAATTCTCCAATGTGGATAAATTAATCCCACTCAATTTAAATTTAAAGGATGCAATCAGTTGTATTGGGCTGGCAACCGGCTTATGCTCAAATCCCACTAAATTTATCATACACCCTTCCAACTACAATTCAAAGGAAGAAGTTCCAAGTCCATGCATAATGTTTGCTCAACTAAAATAAATTGCTTTTCATGATTAAAATAGCCAACCAACCAACACTCATTTGATAAAATTGAACATTTGGAGTTGCATATCCACATATTCCACATATTTAAGATCGAACAAACCTTCAAATGAAGAATTGCAATTGATAGAATCGGTGTTCTTTGAAATAATCATAACATTTCACAACACAACACAATGGCATCAATTTATACAAATTCTAACAGCAAATTGTCAAAAACAATGAGAACAATTACCAGAAATTTCAAATCATTTGGGGGTTCAGAGTAATTACCAGAGAGACGAAAGCTAGAATCAACATTAGTCCATTTTTTTCAAAATAAGAACAGCTCCGATCTAAGAAATACAGTGCAATTTCTGAAGGAAAAAAAAAGTGAGAAAACCCTAAAATCCCTAAGAACCCTAATTTATAAAACGCAAAAGGAGAGAGGAGACTCAAATAAAGGGTAATTTGAGAAATTCAACATGCCATAATCGGGGGCGAGGACGCTTTCTGATGGCCAAATTCATCGACACCGGAGGCAGTTGTCGACCGTCACTGTACCTCCATTTTGTCTCCGCCATGTTTGAGGCTTTCGACCGTCACTACTTGGTTTGTGTGCTTCATGTCGAGAGATATGGGGGAGCGGAGAGAGAGGAAAAGCAGAGGAAAATGAAAGATTGTAGAGAAGGACAGAAACAGGAAGAGTGAGAGATGAGAGGAAGAGCGCACGCGTTCTAACCCATCGCAATCCGTTCTAAACCATATGGACAAAATTATCCTATCAACTTTTGAGAATTACCCTCCCAACCCAGCCCTATTTCGCTGGCATTGTTGTAAATAGCGTGAAATTGAGTGGCAAAGCTACTATCAATTACTCCTCAACTTTATAATAGATAATTCGAGAAAATAGAACTTTAACGAAAATCTTCCGGTATTGTTCACTTTAACGAAAAACCATATTTTTACATTAAAAAGTCAATCCTAGTACTATTCACTTTACCCTTTATTTTATCCTTATCGTTAAAACTCAAAATTTTCAAACTCTTTTCATTAATTTTCCTTTGAGGAAGGGAAAAATTTTTGAAATGTCATATAAACTTGTACGTATTTTTCAGTTTGTCAAAAAAACTAAAATTTTAAGCAATTTGTCACACTAACTTTCTAAAATCATCAATTTGTCATCTCATCCTAACTCCGTTAAGTTTTTCATTCAAAATAAGTCATATGCGAGGCACATGACTTGTGTTCAGGGTTATTTCTGTCATTTTAACACCTCACTTCCTTCTATTAAGTTGCATTCAATCAAATAATTACAGGGTTTCTAAAGCCACAAAAAGAGACTAATATACGATGCTTGGTCTAAGAGTTTTCATTCAAAAAGGAGAACAATGGCGCTTATGTGTGTTTCGAATTGAAGATGGCTCAAGAATAGAGTCATTGCGAACCCTCCAATCTATATGATAAAGTTGGATGAAATTATTTATTATGGCTAATTGGATGAAATTATTTATTATGGTTGTCTGCGACAATAAGAAATTTGATTCTTCTAGTTGTAGCTAGTCCCGTTTTCTATGTTTATTTGCATTCTTTTTTTATGGAATGGTGTTTTACCATGAGATTGAATGGTTTTTTATTTGGTTCTTTGTTTAGTTTGAACTAGAAAATTTGCCTGCACTTTTGCTGCGGGTTTTGAAATCATTATCTACAACAGGCGTGAATAATTTTCATAGAAAGTAACTAAAAAGACGGTCCAACACTAAGAACCAATGAAGTGAAACTTTGATTGCTATATATGAATATACATGCTATAAGAAACCATTCATATTCAGTTCCAACAACAATATCGCTTTTCTTGAGTCCCTTTTGAATGGTATTTCTTGTGGCTTTGGATCGACAATAGTACTTACATACAAAAGATTACGAAACATTGTTTTATTTACCTGAAGAAAAATGACAAAATATTGTTTTACTTAGTTACCTTTTAGAAAATTAGAATGACATTGGCAATGCTTATGCTATTCAAAAATCATATGCCAGATTGAAATCGAAAAACTAAACTTTGAATTCAAAACTATTCACATGTGGAATAATTTGAAATGCCTCAAAATATTATCATGACCCAATTGTATATGGAAAATGCCTGAAAGTAATCCATGCCTTTCTCAAAAATAGGCCATTCAGTGTTGAGCACCAAGTAATAGCCTCTAATATCAGAGAAAATACCTGCCAAGAAAAGAAATTAAAATATTAGGCATATGAGTGCAAGCTTACATAAACTTTGTTTTTGCACACTTTCTTCTCCCTTCAATGACAGTTTGTTTCTATCCAGAAAAATAAAATGAGCAAGTCAATGATACTCACATGTACAAAATGCTAATCCTATATATGGTCTAAAGCTAACTGAGTTTTTAAGTGTAAAATCCCTAATTTCACTGCATTTGGATTGATCACAGTTCGTGACTTGTTAAACTTGATATCTCTTTGTACATTTTGGGAACATGACAGCTTAAAAAAGTGCTCATAAAAGCAAATTACACAATATCCACTAAAAACTTAGAGAAGGGACTCAATTAGTCAACAAACAGATGCCTCACACTTAAATATTAAAGACCAAAGAGAGAAAACCAAGCTGAACTCTTCAAAATTCATTGGCACACATGCTTCATTGGCTCAATTGAATGTATAATGCATACTTGGATACAACATTTTCATAAGGATTCGACGTGATCATGGAGTGCCGGCTGTCGACTACCTGACGCCCTCCCCCTCCTCCTTTATCCGGGCTTGGGACCGGCCATGTAAGAGATACAACAATTCGAACAATTGTTAGAGATTGACATAAGCCTCCAAACTTGAAAAAGTTTGAAACCTTAAGAAAGAAGAACCTGTTTTCCTTCATATTTGTGCTGTTTCGATTAGCTTATCTCGCTATCACTTGATTCATTAGTTTTAAAGGAAGTTCAAATACTGCTTAATAACAGTTGATTATCTCTAAAACAAAGAGGGAAAACATAGAAATACTATATGTACTCAAAATCCCAAATATGTAACACATGGTTGTAATCTACCCTGATTTCAAAATTTAAAATTCGACACAAAAAATGAAATTTGGAATGATTAGCAGGGAAATAAGAGAGAGAAGTGTGAGCGAATATACCCACCCATGAGGCCTTCAGACCCGAGTTCGGAGCTGGAAGCGGCAGAGGTTGCGAACCCAGAGCATGGAAGAAGCTGGAAGGATTTTCCTCTGTGCTGCCTCATGCACGTGTCTTGTACTATTTATCCAAGCATTGACTGTTCAAATATTGGGTAGTTGGTAATATTAAAACTGATATAATCATGTAGAAATAACTTTGTTCAATCTTTCAGGATCTTAACAACATGTCTTTCAACAATATTTGTGATGTTAATTTTGAATCATGTCTCTATTTTAGAGAGAGAGAGAGAGAGAGCATGATTTAAGTGGGAACTATCTCAGGCAATTTTCCTATCTAGCAAATGGTTAAGACAGAAAAATCAATCTTCGATATAGAAAACATCCTGAGCTTATAAAAACCACCAAATCAAAGTTATGTTTTTTTATGTGCTTGTTTGCAACACGGCATAATTATTGCTTTCCAGGGTATAAATGGCTATCAAGCAAAATGAAAAAGAAGTTAAAGACTTCCAACAATGGAGAGCATACCACCATCATATGTGATCAAAGGCAACACTATAAAAGCAGGGTAAACTGCCAATTTAGTCCCTGAATTATCACCTTAGTGAAAATTAGGTCCCTAAACTATTTTTTCAGAAAAATTAGTCCCTGAATTATAAAAATCTGTCAATTACATCCATAATGTTATATTCGAAGTTACTATATTCAATTTTTCATCAATTTAAGTCACGTTACTTGCATATGATACATATTGGAAGGTAGATTGGTAGTTTTTCATAAAGAAATAGTGTATGGAATTGACTTTGGAGGAGAAGTTGGTAGTTTTTCATAAAGAAATAGTGTAAGTTAACTTTTGAGGGTAAATTAGACATTAAATTTGCAACATATATGAAATGTTAGGCACTTACAGACGAGAAAATGATGATATTACACTCTAAAGTGTGTCAAGTGACTTAATTTGACAAAAAATTAGATAAAATAGCTCTAAATATAATAGTATGGATGAAATTAGCAATTTCTAATGAATTTAGGGACTTATTTTACCAAAAAAATAATTTAGGGACCTAATTTTCACTAAGGTGATAATTCAAAGACTAAATCGGCACGTCACCCATAAAAGCATGGTGGAATTAGAGAGATGAGACTGATGGTTAGTGGCATATTTTGATTAGCATTACCTCCAAGATAAGTTGACCTCTCTGATCATATGGGAATTTGCAACGCATGGATTTCCCGTAGATATCTTTTGCATCATCATAGTCCTTATCAAAAAGGTAAACATGATCACATGTTTCAAGACAGCATACAGAACACGTGTATACACACCCCAATTGCAAACTCTGCAATGAAAAGGACCAAAATAAAATAAAAACTTTATTTAAACTAAAACAACTACAAAATGCAAAATTCAATTCTTTCTTTTTTCTTGTGTCAAAATTAAATTATAATAACAAACCTTCATAAATGCATCAATTTCTTGATCCAGCCTTATGTTCCTTTCCCTCTCTAACCGTTCCAAATCATTCATGTATGTTACAGCATAAAACAATTGACAAAAACAGGGGAAGGATATCAGCAGTGCTCGATTGAGTACATGAAAGTAAATTATGCATCACGATTTGGACTTACTTTTCTGGCAACTTCTTGCAGTGAAGAAGAGAGCCGGATGGAATAATCGATCAGCTGGGTGAAAAGGATTTACAGAGATTTTGAATTTGGGGTGAAAAGAAATTCCTAGAAATCAGCCTACCCCCATACTTCTCCCTTATTCTTTCTCCCTTAAACCCATGCCAGACGGAAATCGCCGAAAATCCCCTCCCCCACCCTCTGTCACTTTGCGAACTGCCCTCAACCTACTCTGATTGAGACCGACGGAACAAACCTCCTAAGCGCGAATTACAGAAATGCCCACAACTTGTGGCCGTTGGATGTGGAATCAAGCAGGGAAAATGATAATTTCATTACCCCACTCCCACTCCGAAATCGAAGATTCACACCAAATCTCTGTCACTCTCTCTGTCTCTTTCTCCTCCTCTGTCTGCTCTATAATCCCCTACCCATCGATCCGAATGCCTTGCAGCCCTTCAATTTCAGCCGCGTGATCCTAACCTAGATAGATATTTCCACCATTTTAGCACCCTAAGGGCCGGCCTTATGAAGAATCTAGGAAAGCCCATCAAACACATTATGGGCGGCCCAAAACAAAGTAACCCAACCCCCAAAACACACTACCCACCCAGCCCCAATTTGATGGCAGTGGCGTAAATAAAGTAAACTCAAGTGGCAAACAATTGACTGTAGCTAAGCTACAGTCAATTCACTCCTCAACTTTAGAATAGACGAGAAAATATGCTCGCGCATTGCTGCGGGAACCTGTTGTTTCAGGTGTAATCGGATGAATAAAACACATTTAAGTTGAATAAATTCAACACAATTATGAACAAATAGTTTTTTTATATACATTCAAGTGAGCTGGCATATAAACACATTGTACAATGAGTGGGAAGAAACTGAACGTCTTTGATTAGAAAGAGATGGTTTCCAAAAAAGTTCTGTTTCCTTAAAAAACAGAAGAAACATAAGTTCACACAAAATTTCAGTTACCAAATCCAAAAAAAAAACAAAAATGTGACTCTCTATATGGCTTTCTTACTACAAAAAAATATCCCTTAGTTAAAGCATGCCACACATCATCACATTGCTATTATATGAAGTATATTCCTCAGTGACAAGTAATATACTCTCCTTAGCATGACCTCTCATCCCTTATATCTCCCTAGAATCGTATAACAACCCATAAGTACGGTGCCCCTTTAAAATCCAAGCATACATTAAAAATTCAACAATACAGTTACAAAATCTCTATAAATGAGCATACCTCAAAAAGCCAACGGCCCAAGTGACACACTGCACACACTGCATGCACTCACATACACTGCATACACATACGCTTACACACACTGAAGAATGAACGCATTATATTCAGTTAGCACTATTCAACTTTAAAAGCAGTGAGACATACCAAAGGCACAGCCTAACTGGCATCGGTTCAAATAACCAAATTGAGAACATTTGAATTTTAGAAAAGTTGTACATAAGGGAAAAAAAAAGAAAAAAAAAGAGACAAAACAATCCTATAACCACAATTGAAAAACAAAATCAAAATGAACATAATAAAATATCAGCAGAGCTTGAACACTAACAGCCTTTGAAAACATGTGTTGGTTACGTATAATATATATGCGCATAAATTAAGAAAATGACTTGAGTGCCCTAGCAGTGGTCTTTACGTTGAACCAAATCACTATTAGGTTAATTGTATTGATTCACGCATCTTATTTTATGTGCTAAACTCTACTAAATTGCCCTACAAAAATGACATAAAACTAATTAAATTCCCAATATATCTGAGATATACAACTTTTAAAAGTGTGACAATATATGCAGCACCAGGATGTTGCAGAACTCACTGCCCCAATTTAAGATTCGGTTTTTATCCAATGTATGTATAAGCTTAGATACATCTGAGAATTTGCTTTTCAACAGTTGTTACTCTCATCGTCTTTTGAGAGAGATAGATACAAACATTAAGATTACAATGGGGAAGAGTTAAGAATCCCTCTAAAATACTAAAGAAAAACATACCTACAACGGAGTAAACAAGTGTTTGTCTCCATAGCAGTTTCTCAGAGCATTTATGCTGTGAGAAAGATAGTGCTCCACTCCAGAAGGATGGACAAATTTACCAGATGGAGACTGACCCAAGGAAAACATCATCTGACGAACAATTATGGTGATGCAAAAGGACAACACGTGATGTGAAATTATTATACCAAAATATCCAAGGTATGTTAATCTAATCACCCAATAAAACAGAACATAATTAAGCACAACAATATCAAAATTAAAAGGAAGGAATAATATGAAACCTTGTGCATAGAACGTTCATGAGAATGAATCACACAACAATCAAGGATGGACAAATCACAAAAGTGACAATTAAAGGGCACCTGACGGACACCCACATCCTTCTCTCTCTACAATCGCAGAAATCCCTCGGGTTTCATGAAGCAAATGGAAAACGAAATGCCCCTTTACCCTCACAGAAAATCCTCCCATCTCTCTCTCACCCTTGTCCCATCTCTCTGTCTGCAAATTGCAGAAAAGAAACCCTAAACAAATCCCTGAAATCCCTTGCCTAAATCCTCTCACATTTCTTTCGGACACCCCCTATCTCTTTCTCTCTCTCTCTTTGCAAAACCTAAACCAGATCTCCTAAATCCTATCTCAGACACCCGACATACAGCCAATAAGCCAAGATATTAAAGCAATCTCTACATAATACTTTGGAACAAATTAAGCAGAGAAATCAGTTTATAATCCCTAAATACTAGAAAGAAGGAATCTTTGAAAGGGAAGCTTCCGAATGGCATACAGAGATTTTTATTATAAGAAAAATGTAACCCTAATCCCATATTAAGCAGAGAAATCACTTCATAATCCCTAAATACTGGAAAGAAAAAAAATTTGAAAGGGAAGCTCACCACTGCAATCATAAGGCATGAGCAGAGACAACTTCGGAGGCTGTAAACAAAGGCCCAAAGAATGAAAAACCAGGGTCTCTTGAAACTGAAAACAGAACTAAATTAAACCACCACACGTAGAATCGCAGGCTACAAACTGGCATGGTTATGGTTCATCTGCTGCCGCAATGACTTGGTTCATTTACTGCCACAATCGCAATACCAGTTTCTATTGGTAGAATTATAGTAACAATATATAGAAACAAAGAAATTATCTTTTCATCTTGCATATCAACAATTATAAAATGCATCAACCAATAAACTAAAAAATAAAAAACAAAGACAAAAAAACGTATGCTTTCCATTCAACAGAAAAAGTCTGCATAAAGATAAATTGGAATGATAAACATACAAAATTTCACTTTTCACTTCACATAATTTGTTTGAAATCACTAATTACCATTAGGACAACTTCATAATGAAAAAAGATTACACTAAAATTTTGGAAATTGTTGCTTACGTATCTTCAGAATCATCTTTATGATTTCTAAACATTTTTCCAAAAAGAGTGGACAGATGAATACAAACCTCCTCGGATGGACACACTAATAGGATCATCCAGTCGACCATCAAATACTTCCAAAGATAATGACAGAAGTGGTGTCTCCATTACATGCTTCTCCGAGAGTCCCATGTGAGAAAAAAGAAAAGTAAAAATCAAAACTTGCCTCTGCCAAATAGGAAAACCCCTACAAACCACACAATCAGAAAAATTAAATTATTTTTTTTCTAAAATTAGGAGAGGAAAATAGAATAAGAGTGGAAAATCCTAAAAAATAAGAAAGAAAGAAAGCCAAAATTATAGATCTAGAGAATAAAAATTACCCAAAGTTCCACTCAACACAAACATAAGGGCCAATGCGAAGGCGAGCATAGAGCCCTGCCTTCTGCATGGTCTTGAGAAACCTCACCAGATTATACCTCCCCTTAAAATTGTACTAAAACCCAACATAAACCCAAAAGGTGAAATTAACTACAAAACCAAATATACAAAAGTATTCGTTTCAGATCTAAATTCATCCCCCTTTATACTGGCTCTAAGGTGGTTTTTGTCGTAGCCATGTCCAAGACAATGCACCCAAGACTCCATACATCTACAGCAAGGTTTGCACCAACTGAGTTCTGTATAACCTGGGCAAGGAACCGAAATGAATACTTAAGTAAAAGTAAAACCATCAAGAAGCATGCCACGAAGGAAAAAAATACAGTAACAAAAAAAAAAAAAAAAAAAAAAAAAAAAAAAAAACTCACCCTCACAAACTTATCCAGTGACGCTCCATTTGATTGCTCTAATCTTCATTAAGAAGATTGGTACCTGTCCAGATACATTACAAACTTCATTTAATTAAAGAAAACAAAAGCCAAAAATGTAGAAATCTAACACAATTAACGTAAAGAGAAGCATATGAAATCATTAAAATAACATACTAATAATAATACAATGTAATCAAAGAATGATTATTCGACATTAAAACTAAGCCAGGAACAAAAACCTTTGAACTTTGTGCATAAAGCACACATGTTGTCTTAACTGTACAAACACTATTAACAACCTAAACGATAATTAACTCACAATTTAGTTCCATCAATATGATAGACATACCAAACTGTCAACAAACTAACAAAAGTAAACATAAACCCTCCCTAGAAATAGCCCAATGGTAGGATTATGTAGTCCGACTGTGCTGAACTAAATAAGAAAAAATTCAAGTGGTCAAAGCCAATCTAGAGCTTTCTCATCTCCCAAACACAACAAGAATCAGAACGTGGGTCGTCAATTTCAAGAAATTCACAGAAAGAGAGAAAGAAAGGGATAGAGTAGCACAAACCTCAGATCGATTGGCCTCGATCCTCTGTATTCCCTCATTATCGTAGCAGAAATCAACAAAAGCATATATACAATGACATTTTATCAGCCACTGGTTGGACCACATTTATTAACTGCTATAAACGGAGAAACAATTTGGTATAAGAATCTGATAAGAATCTCATTCCACAAAACTTCTTCAGTCTAGGCCTAAACAACTGCAAGCAAAAAAATCCCCAAGATACATACTTTCTTCCAGATCATCCACCGCTATTAACAAAACCACACCCTATATCTTCATTTAGCTAATAAGATTAAAAGAGTGAACTTATCACCCAAATAAAATATGTAGATTAACGAATATGAGTTAAAAAGTGGAGGAAAGAAACAAAACCAATCAAACAACGAATTGTCAATAGAATAAAACAACAAATATAGATATCTGAATCAAAGATTTTTTTTATTTTTTATTTATTTATTTATTTATTTATTTTATTTTTGTCAAATGAAGACTTAAATGTCACTCAACATTGTTTCTAATTGCAGCTTCCTTTCTACCTGTAAAAGCATGGTTGTCTTAGCCAAACATACATTTTGATCATGCATAATCGAGATGGAGACATTATCTTCTGACAACAGACATGGAAGTTCAAAATATTATTGAATCATCAAATGTTGAAATTACCAATC